TATATATATATATATATATACATATACATTACATACATGTGTATGTATGTATGTATGTATGTATATGTATATATTTAAAATACTTGAAGATATTTTAACTGCGATTTTACAGATACTATATAAATGTGAGATTTACTTTTAAGGAGCATTATTGTTAAGGTCACAAATGAATACACGAATTTCCCGAGTTGGTCGCCACAGCGATGCTAACCGAAGAACATATATGACGATTAAACTAATGTACGGGAAGGACGAAAGAAAACAAAACAAAACAGTACACCTTTACTGAGTACGTTTACAAGACGCGGGAGTCTTTCGACTTTTAGTGTTAATGGCGATTCAAAAAGGATGTTCTATTATCTATCTTACCTGCTAATTTTGATACACTCGCTGCCATCGCATCTGTCAACGAATTGTTGCGTTAACGTCGCTGCCCATTCTGAGTCCATTTTTTGAACGAGTTGTCTGCTACCTCACAGCGTAATATCTATGAAAATTCTAAAAGTTGGCCGCGCGTTGACGATGCCGGCCCTTACGCTTTCTTCTCTAACACGTATTTATTGTACGTGAATAATGAGAAACTTGTTATTCTTCACAAAAATGTTTACATATAATTTCTACAAGCGTATACTCTCTCTTTCTCTCTCTCTTTCTCTCTCTCACTCCCCCTCTCTGTTTCTTCTCTTGTATCTCGGAAGTTTTTATTGTGTTTTACAAAACGTTATATATATCGATTTTACGAGGAAAAACAAAAATGATAGTCATCCAAAGAAGTATAAAATTTGAACATTTTACACTTTCATTCTGTAATGTTCAACTAGATATGTCTAATCAATACACAATTCACGATTATACCGGTGAGTGTCATTAACTATATGTAAAATATGTAAACGTATTCAGTACATATAAACTTTATGTCTAGTTTCAAGCAGTAGTTAAGTAGCGTGAAGCCATCACAGCCTGAAAATTCACCAGCCACACTTTGCAAAACAAGAAAGCTCGAAATATTACTCCGTACTTTTATTTACGAAAACAGATAATTTTCTACGTTTAATATCGATCACAGATTACTGTTGGCGATTTTGTTTATTTATAAGAGCAGAGTTTAGTCTCGAATTCGGAATAAGTTGGATTTTTTTTTTAACATCATGATTCGTCTTTCAGTATATGTATGCGAGTCAGCACGCTTTATGAATTTCACGGAATTATCTCTTTCTTTTTATTATTTTCGTGTATCATATGTGTTCTTATATGTATAATGTTGCATGTACATAAAATACATCTGTCGCATATGTAATATTTTATATACAGAGTGTCTACAAAGTTTGCTCCCATCCCCTATAGTTTGGAAACGATTCAAAATTATGAAAAATCGCGCGAAATTGATCATTTTTTTAAGCGGATATGTCATAATTTTAAACTGTTTTAACCTTTAAACCACCATATCCCAAAAAAATCACACTAACCACAATGTCGGTCTGGACAGACCGCTATTATGCTCTCGCCAATTTTATAAGTTATGTATAATAAAAATATGTTTTCTGAATATTTGTGATGGGGGAAAAGAAAACTATGTTTTAATGTGAGGGTTAACAAAAAAATCTCATATAATAGAAATAAAATATATTTAAATG